TCAGCCAGGCCCCGTAGGCACCATGGCAGAAAGTTCCCAGGGCCATTCCATTCCTGCAGCAATCAGTCTAGTCAGACTGGTGAGGCAGCTGGATCACTGAGGCAATCCTACTGGACTGAGACTGTGCAGACAGGAAGCAGAGAGCTCTGGAGAAGCAAAGAGGCCTGTGAGGGAAGACTGGAAGTCAGCAGGCAGCCAGGCCCAGCGGCTCAGATGCTAGTCCAACCCACATGCAGTCCCAGTGGAGCAGTCCATGCCAGCACAAGTGAGCCAAATCCTGAGCTCATTTTAATGGCTTCTGGCCCAAACCTGAGTCACTGGGGATTCCATGGACTTGTAAGTGAGGCCTACATGCATCCAAAAACAAACTGCTTGATGCTGTCATGGAAAACCTGGATCTTTGCATTCTACAGTTTCACTATGGATTACATCCAGGTCACAACCTAAGGAAGACAGCTGGCAAAAAAAAAAAAAAGTAAAAATAAAAAAAATAGCCCTGCTGGCTGGTTACCCAGCTTTGGTAATGAATCCCAGGGGGATCTGAACCCATATGTGTTTCTGGCTCTGCCAAGTCCTCGACATGCCCCCACCTAGTGAAGACCATTCAGCCTGAGATTTATGTTGCTGGGGAGTCTGAAAAGCCACCTGCAATTGGTTCAGTGTGGAAGCTGCTGCCAGAAAGAAAAGGACCAGAGGAGAGTCTCATGGAAGGGGAGTGGGAGGAAGACATTTTCCTTTTGATACTATTGTTATCTTCTGCTTTTTCAAAAAATGATGTGAGTTCATATGAAAGTCCAGCCCTGTTCTGCGCCTGGTAGCCAGCACAGGCGGGCTCTCATGACTGAAGAGAATAAGGTTAGTTCTAAAGACTAGGAAAAGCTGGGCATCGGTGGCTCATGCCTGTAATACTAGCTACTCAGGAGGCTGAAATCTGAGGATCACGGTTCAAAGCCAGCCCGGGCAAGGAAAGGCCATGAGACTTTTATCTCCAAGCAGTAGAGTGCTTGCCTTGAGCTGAAGAGCCCATGGACAGTGCCCAAGCCCAGAGTTCAAGTCCCACAACTGACAAAAATAAATTACTAAATAAATACTATAAAAGATTTCTTATTCCTTAGAAAGTAGCAATTCTGGGAAATGAAAAACATGCTAAAATTTGCTAAGAAAGCTTCTCTCTTCAAAATGCCATGGGGAATGTATTCTCTTTCACAAGTGATAAAACCAAGGCCTTCAGGAGTGAAGTAAGTTGGTCAGTGTTTCATTCACAGCTGCTTTATTTTCAGGACTGCTTGCTAGGCACTCTACTACCTGAGCCATGTTCCAAGTCCTTTTGGGCTTTGGCTTGTGTTTAGAAAGTCTCTGGCAGCCTAGGACTATCTTCCTCTTCTTTCCACTTCCTTAGCAGCTGTGCCATTCCATGTTGTATACCACAACATCCAGCTCTACGCCTGCACTCTTTATTACTATTGAGTGTAACACTAAGCGTATCCAGTGCACAAGTATTTAGCAACCACTATTAGGCCAGGCCTTGAAGGCAAATCAATTTAACCATCTTGTTAACTAGTAATTTGTTTTTGTTTGTTTTTCATTTTTTTTTACATAACCCAGGAATGACTTTCCATTGAAGCAACATATTCTTTCCTATTTAACTGCTAAAATCAAAATACCAAAATTTTAATGATTTATACAATGAAGCCTATAAGCCAATAACCTATTTATTCTTTAAATCAGGTATAAGCAAGTAAGTTTTGCAATATCATGATTTTTCATTTAGTCAGATCTTTTTTTTTTTAATCCTTTCTGCCAAAAGGAATCCTTGTGTTACTCTGGCAACAGGCTCCTTTTCCCCCATTTGTTTCAATGTGAACAGATGGGTTGGAGTAAAGACTGGGGCTGCTCACAGCTGCAAGTCCATGGCTAAGACTGCACTGACCAGGTGCTACAGCAGCTGGGCAGAGAGGAGAGAAAGCAGCCAGTTGCTTCACACACCCTTTGGCCACTTTCTCAGCCATCCATTCCAGGCCCAAAGCTGTAACTTACACTGATCTGAATGCTTGATATGGAAAAAACAGCCCACTGAGCCACTCAGCAGATCTGTCCCTCTGAACAAAGGCGGCTCAATCCTTTCTCATGATCTCCTCTCCTAGGCCTGCAACTAGACAGGCTGCAGAGCAACAAAAAAACTACTTCTTCCTGGGTTTCAGGGCTTGGCCTCAGACCAGTGGCCCCTAGAGAGCAGAGTGACTAGACAGGAATTGCCTCCTGCCAATTTAAAGTTGTGAGTAATTTCAGAAATTGTGAGATACAGCCTAAGTCATAGGGGTTGGAAAGAAAATTCAAATTTCTTTAGAAAATTTTGGAAGAGGCAGATAAGCCCCTTGGGTGTCTCTTAACTTCCTTTTTTTCGAGTCATTAATTTTTTTTTAATCTTTAAGTAGTTGTACAAAGGAGCTGCCATTTACTGAAGCCGTTTATGAATACAGTCATCTTGATAAATGCCTAGAAGCCTTAGTCAGAGAAACTCACTGCAGTGTGTGAAAACCCAGGAAATACATTCTGAACGTTGTGCAAAATAAATGTTCTTGCCATTTATGTGAGGCATCAAACACCACAATAGTTTGGTAAGCTAATGCTTGTCTTAGAGATGGAATTCACTGGACTAACCGTTTACTAAAAGCTTCATGTAGAATAGCCTTCAAGGCCAAAAGATGCTTCCACTTCACTTCTAAACTGCAAAGAACAGGTTTTTGTTTTTGTTTTTGCTGAAGGGAGTCCCCCATTTCCCACTGCTAGAGGACAAACCAGGAGTCTTGCCTGCATACTAGCAAACTAATAAACCCACATGACAGGATGAAACTAGGGAGGATTTTTTTTTTTTTTGGTCAGTCGTGGGGCTTGAACTCTGGGCCTGGGCACTGTTCCTCAGCTCTTCAGCTCAAGGCAAGCGCTCTACCACTTGAGCTACAGGGCCACTTCCGGTTTTCTGGTGGTTTATTGGAGATAGGAGTCTCAAGGTCTCTCCTGCCCGGGCAGATCTCAGCCTCCTGAGTAGCTAGGATTACAGGCGTGAGCCACCATCGCTCGGCGCGAAACTAGGGAGGATTTTAAATTCAACATGGTAGACAAAGTTAGATCGTCCTCTCAAGTCAACCAGAGCTCTTCAATAGGATGAATAAATTGTGTGTGCTGGCTTCACTTTATCTGTGTGTTTAACTTTTCAGAAGACTCTGGAAACACTTCACAAAGGTTTTAAGATAGACACCTGAGGCACTGTCTGAGAGGTGAAATGTTGCGCCTGACACTTTTCACATTACAGAAGTGAACCAAAAGGGGACAGACAATAAGCTTCACTGGACCAAAATTTTAAAAATTTTTAAAGTCGTATTTTTTTTTCAGAAGAGGTATGTTAAGGTCTAGAGAGGTGGTGTTTATCTGGTCTCCCAGATTACCAGAGTGCCTCAGACTGCCGGGGTCATTCATGTACACTAATCCTGGCAGATAAATGAGGGTCCTGTGCCTGAACTTAGCTACTACTAAGGAGGCTGAGATCTGAGGATGGAAGTTTGAAGCCAGTCTGAGCAGAAAATTCCATGGACTCTTATCTCCAATAAGCCACAAAAAAAACTGGAAGTGGAGATGTGGCTACAGTGGTAAAAGTACCAAGCACCAAAAAAAAAAATAGTCATTTTGAAACAGTAAGTTTATAGACCCTGGGTGTCTAAATGTACATTGGCCCAGGCCAATCAAAGACTGAGGATCCTGGGACTCTTGGCCCACTTCCCACCTCCTCCCCACAAAAACATATCACAGTAGGCCCCTAAGGCTTGAGGAAGGGAGAACTTTATCTTATCAGCTGTTTGAAAAACTCTTGTCATTTGATCTGTTTATTTGGAAGCTAGCCCTGCTGAGCTCAAGCTTCAGCTATGAGGCAGACTAGAGTTCATTCATTTGGGGTCTGTTTCTCAGGAGCCCCTGCTGAAGAACCCCCTACCTTAGGCTTTCTAATGGCTGAATGACTTGGGCCCCTCAGTAGGGCTGTGATGGATTCCTGCTCCTTCTACTAGATAGAGTTGAGCTTCATAAACAGGTTGGTTAGAAAGTAAACACTTGTCCCCCCCTCCTCTCCCACCACCACCCGAAAATCACACGTAAGTCTGTCAGTCTGTCCCTTCTACTTACACGGGATGTCACCTAATGCAGCCACACAAAAAGATCCCCTGGAGCCCAAACAGTCTGCCGCTGTCCCCATGCACCTTCAGCCCTCTGGGGCGGGCTGGGGGTGGAGGCCCTTTTCCAGCAGTGCACAGCTTTCCCTGGGGTCACTGGAAAGAGCTATAACTTTTCTTTCCACCCATTTCCAATAGGCTCCTTCGTAAGAAGCTCCCAGAAAGTGGAAGCTTGCTTGCATTTTCTGATTTGAGTGTACAGAACATGGTCAGGCTCCAAGGAGACAATTTACATGAGAACATCACTGAACACAAAGCATCTGATACAAATTCCTTCCAAGCCTGCATGGTCTTCCCAGGCCCAGGGCAGAAATCGTGCAGGCGGGGGGG